AAAATTTATATACAATTATACAATTACTCATTAATATTTTATTTAATTAACCTAACCCTTTGTTTAGTTCATTTCTGAATATTTGAAATCTCATTCCCTATCCTACTATTAGAAAAGTGATTATTTTCGAGAAACTATTTCAGTCAAGCATTTAGCTTGATTGAAAAAAATACTTATTTCAATCAAATTTTTTTGACCTTAAAGGTAAGCCATCTGTTAAAAGGTGAGAAATTGATTGGCTCGGTCTAATATTTATTCGGTCCAAATTATGACCAAAATAATAGCATGACAATTAGCACTAATATTAAATCACTTAAATTTTTTTGACAGGAAAGGAAGAATGTTAAAATATCTCACAATTTGGTTGAATTTTTTGACCGCATATAATTATAAATATGTGATCAAATCGTTACAAAAATAGTATTTTTAAATTCACTATTTCAGTCAAAACATATTGTTGAAATAATTATAATATTTTGTTTTATTTTTCAATTAAATATTTAGCCTAAATTATTGTAGGGTTTTATGGTTTTATTTCAATCAAATAATTTGATCGAAATAATGTGAACATAGATTTGCTTAATTCAGTCAAAACAATTGATCGCAATAGTCAGTATTTTGGTCAAATTAACTGATCGAAATTAAGACTGAATTTTGATTCAATTTGTTGCAAAAATAGGGCCCACAAATCTTTCTATTTCAATCAAACTCTGTTAATTTTTTTTAATGGATTCATAATGAACTGAGAAACTTAATTGATTTTATTTTATTAGTTTTAATTATAATGAATATCATGTTTACAAGTATATTTTTATGTATGTTTTTATATTTTGTTTATAGGAAAAAAGCCTAATTTTTAAAGAAAAAATTACTGAATTTTTTTGTAAACAATTGATCGCAATAGTCAGTAATTTTAAAGAAAAAATTACTGAACAGCAGTTAATAGCTTAAAACTATTGATGCACATATATTGGCTAATATTTTAGGTGGACCTTCTAAGGACAGGTGTGTTTATAGGATGCCTATGCATATAGACCATGTTGAGCAAGGGGTTTTGCACTGCAAGCAACCTCTCCATACTATACCTTCTAATTCTATTCAATCATCTTAGCATGTCGTGCAACTACATCAAACTATGGTGAAATGATAAGAGAATCTTAGTGTGACCCAACAAAACCAAATGACCTTACAGGGGAAAGTGGCCAGGGAGAGGATGAAGTAGATGTTCTTCATGATGCAAGGAGGAGCTTTCGGTACCAGTGGGGGATCCAGTCTGTTTTAAGTCGTTCTATGAAAAATTTCTTCTAATTTTATGCATGGACATGTATGACAGTAACTGATGATATAGTAATTTATTATTCTAGGTCAAATTTAAATTTTGTCTGTTTTTAGGTAAACTTTGTATATATTTATAAATGGTTGAGCAAAAGCTGAATTCTTTAGAATGCACTTACGTGATTAATGCTATAACATGTCCGTTTTAATTACAAATGAAGTTTATGCATATTATTGAAAATTAGCAAGAAATGGAGTCAGTAAAGAAGCTATTGGGGAGCAAACCAATCCAACTATTTCGATCATATATTTTAACCGAAATAATTGGCAAAAAATATATACACTATTTTGGTCAATTATCTTGCCTAAACTAATAATTAGAAATTCTTGAAATATTATCACAACAAACTTAACCTTATTTTAGTCAAATAAATTGATTGAATAAGTTGATGCATTTTAAAAAATTAATTGAAAATTTATATATATGTTTAGTTAAATTTTTTGACCAAAATATATCCAAAACTTTATCTATATTTAGTTATTTTTCCCTTGAATTTAATTTATTTTCATATTTCAGTCAAAATATTTAGCCAAATTAATCATTATGTATTTTAGAAATTTTATTCTTACATCATGAAAAACTTAAAAATTTTTTATTTCTTGTCTATACTATTTCGATCAAATATTTCATCTAAATATAATAATAAATATTTTAGAAATCCTACTTATTCTATTGCGGTCCAATATTGTAAAAAACAATGAAATATAAAGGATTGAAAGGAAGTATTAGTAAAACAACGCCATTTTACTCTAGGCTAAATTAAAAGATAAGAGGCCAGGGTTCCCTCATGTTTCTTTTGCTCTGCCACTCATCTTTCTCTCAGATCCTTAGTTCTTCTTAGTTATCCCTAAATTTGCTCAAATTTGGATAAAGCACAGCATAAGTGAAGAGATTCTCATAGTTTTAAGTCAGTAAGCTGAGGAATCAAAAGCCATAAGCTACAAGAAATTTGAAATCAATTCGAAGTTAGGAGTCTCAATCTTTGAGAGGTATAAACCAGGTCTTGAAAGAGAGATGTGTGGAGAATTAGTTTAATTTGAAAATTTCAATTCCAAATATATATAATTGGATTATTATCTATAATTTGGAATTAGGGCTTACAATTAGTGTGAAGGGTTTGGGTTCTACTTTTTATTTTTTTTTTGTATAAAAGAGGGTTTAGTTGTAAACCAAGGGACGAGGAAAAATTCAGTAGAAGAAAAAGGAGAGGAAAAGAGAGAGTGAAACATAGGTGAATAAAGGGCAGAGTCTTGTATTCAGCTCTTCTAATTGTTGAAATAAAGTTTGAAATTTGCAAGGTGTGTTTCCTTTTTCTTTCTTTTTCTTTAGCCTTTGTATGGATTGAGAGAGTTGAGGGATAAGGGGACGAGAGTGAAGGAGAGGTCTTTCCTCTTTTTTGTTTGGATAAAGTCGTTAAAGGAGGAGGATAGAGGGGGCAGTAGATGAAGGAGGATGGACTCCTCTTTACTCTCCTTCCCTTTCCCTCTCTTTCCTTTTCCTCCCTTTTCTTCACTTTCCTTTACTATTTTTTATTTAAACATATATCCTTAGCATCTATTTGGGATTGCAAGAGTTAGAGGAGGGAAGGAGGGTAAGAGGGAGATGCCTCATTCTCTTGTTTGGATTATGTATTTTAGGTGAGCGGGATGAGGATGGATAGAGATAGAGTCCCCTTGACTTCTTTGATTCCAATCTCTCCAATTTGAAAGGATTGGGATAAATTTCTCTATACATTTATGCTCTTTTAAACCTCTTTTTTTAAATATATTTTTTAATTCAATTATTTATTTAATTAGTCAAATATATATTATATTAAAAATTTAAATTATTTAATTAAATAAAAATATTATTCTTCTCTCTCTTTTACTTTTATCTATTCAAACAAGTTTAACACTAATCCTTTCCTTCCCTTTCCTTCTCATCTTCCCTTTACTCCTCCTCTCTTCCCTTCCCTTTCCTCTACTAATTTTTGTCTAAATATACCCTTAATTCATGTGTATGAGAAGGTTAAAAGTTGAATTTCCCTCACGAGAATCATACTTAGACCTGAACTTATTTTATTTCCAATTTTCTTGTTTGATTTTAATCGATATGGTAAGCATCATCATCATTTTAATCTACTTCCAAAGCTTTGACTGTTAGCGAAGATTATTTTGTTAGAAAAGCCAAGGGAAGTTAGTGTTATCAAACAAAGTTCCTTAGAGATGTTTTAATGGTTAAAAACTTAAATCTCTATGTTGAAAATTTCTAGTTTGAATTTTGGGATGGGCAGAAAGGAGTTTGGAAAGGAGA